CACCCCCAGCCTCCCCATGCCTGGGCCAAGGTGCCCACTGCCTCACCCTTGCGTTCTTCTCCATTTCTAGCAGAACCCGCTTGTGCTGCTCGGCAATGGCCAGGGTGGCACTGTGGACCCGCTGGTAAATCTGTTCCCCTTCCTGTGTCTGGAAGGTGTAGAGCCCTTCCCCAGCATCACACATCCTGGGGACACAAGTGGCATGGAAGGCAAGGTGGTGGGGACCCCATCACGCATGCATGTGCTTGGCGGGGTTCTCTGTACGCCGGGCCCTCTGGGATCAGGCAGGGCCGTCACCCGGGGGTCTGACCACACAGCTCAAACGTGCTGAGCAGTTTCGATGTTCCAGGTGGTGGTCTAAATGCTTTACACGAATTGGCCCGTTCCACTCCCTTCCCCCACTCTGCACTATTACAATTTCCTCATTTTTAGGGGTTTTTCTCAAACCACTTCGCAATGAGGAAACTGAGGCATACAGAAGGTAAGTAACTTCACCAAGGTTACACAGAGGATTACACAGAATTCAAGGCCAGGCAAGCTGGCTCCCGAGCTCATGCTACGAGTTACCCAATCCTCTCTGCAATCCCATGAGGTTAGGTACTTTTCTTGTCCCCCGTGTGACAAATGAGGAAACTGAGACTTGGGTCCACAAACCCGGAGCTAGGAAGTGCCAGTGCCTGCACTTGATTTGAGCCTAGCAGTTTGATTTTGGTGAACCGCCTCACTTGACCTGCCAGCTGTGAGCCTCAATTTCTTCATCTGTAAAATGGGAATATTGTGTTCCCTTTTGGGTTGCTACACCAATAAATAACAGGCTCCCAGCACGGTGCCTGACACGAACGAACAGCAGCCACCATCACTACCACGGTGGGACAGGGTGGACAAGAGGGTCCTACCGGCCAGCCTCAAAGGTAAAGCGTGTGGTGTCCCGGCCGTAGCGGCGCAGTGAGCAGAGGGGCCACGAGACGAGCTTCACGCGAGGGTTGTGTATGTCCCAGAGGTAGATGTTCTCGTGGGTGATCTGCAGCTTGCACTCGCCATATACATCCAGGTTGGGGCAGGGCAGCAGGAAGACGTTAAAGCGATCTGAAGGGAAGATGAGTGGGCCTGGAGCTTCCCATGGGGGCCTCCTGCCCCTCCTCCCCCTCCCAGTGCCAGGCCTCACCTGTCTGTTCACACTGCACTCCTGGGGCCAGGAGGTCCGGCTCTCCCAGACTGATGTCGTTGAGCCGCGACCCCAGACACTCCACAGACAGGGTCTTGTACCACTCCTCTGCCTCCAGCTCTGGAGAAAGTGGCACCCCGTCATGCTGCTGGCTCAGGGTCCCCTGGCAGCCTGCCCCATCTACTCAGCCTGAGTTATCCCACCATCCCCCCCATGCAAAGCAGGGAGGGCCAGGCCCACCTCATCGTGGGGGTCTGCTCACTCAAAGGCACCCCCCAACCCTCACCCACAACCACCAGACCAGCCGGAGCTAGCCCTGCTGTCTTCTCCCAACTGGACCACTGAACCATGGCTGGCCCAGAGGAGGCTGGGTGGAGGCCTGCAGCCCCTACGCCTCACCTGAGTCGCAGGTGAAGGTGCGGGCTGAGTCATCAGTGAATATGATGGCCACCGCCTGCCTCTTGGTCTCCTTGGGGAGCCGTGTGACACACTTGACATTACTGATCTCGGTCACCTGTGACAGCATCCACAAAGGACTCAGCCAGGTTGGAGCACCTCCCTCTGCATTCCCACAGTTCTGCCACCCCCAGGAGGGTGCTCGTGGCCCTCAGGACTCTTAATTCATCACTGCTTCCAGGTTAGGGGAGCTAGGGCTCAGCCCCCTCACCTTGGGGCAGCCTCGGAGGCACACTGACTTCTCATCCGGATACTTCTCCAGCCGCTGGGGCCCCTTGCTGGAGGATTTCCGGAACACTAGCCAGCACCTTCGGTAGATCTGTGGGGCAAGATGACAAGGGGATCAGGCTCCCACTCCCACCCAACAGGGCCCTGCAGTTACCCTTGCCTACCTCAGGGGGCAGTGCCACACAGCCTTCCAGGGAGGCCCCAGCCCAGGAGAAAACCTGGGGACAGCAGACACCACCAGCATGACACCCCCTGGGGGAGAGTTCCCCTCCCCAAATTGAAAGGCAGTTATTTCTTGGCTGGCTCTGAAAGCTGTTCCACAAAGGCTACACTCCCATTTACTGTGAGCTCAGCTCTGAGTGTACAGTTGACCCTTGAACCACACAGGTTTGAACCACGGGGGTCCACTTACACATGGATTTTTTTTCAATAAATATACAGCTGACCTTCTATATCCCAGGTTTTGCAGGATTTTTTTTTTTAATCTGTGGTTGGGAATCTGTGGTTGGGAAGCCATGGCTGTGGAGGGCCAGCTGTATGCATTGTTCATGCCATTTTATATATGGGACTGGAGCATCTGTGGATTTTGGTATCTGCAGGGGCCCTGGAACCAATCTCCTGCAGATACCAAGGGACGACTGAGAAGTCAAAAGATTTTCTACTGTGAGGGGGAGGGGGCTGGGCACCCCTAACCTCCGCATTGTTCAGCTGTGACATAAGTAGCTCACATTTATTGAGTGCCTCTTATTTGTACTTGCTGGTATTAGCACTCTACACAGTTCATCTCAGGGTCACTCTTGAGGTCAGTTCTATTATCTCCACTTTATAGATAAGGAAACTGAGGCACCAAAAAGTTAAATAACAGCTAATAAATGGCAGAGTGAGTCCTTAAAACAGACTGACTAGATCCAGAGCTAAAACTCGGAGCCCACTGCACACAAAGCTCAGCCCAGGGCTCCAGCGGCACCAACCACAACAGCGGGAGTGTCCTAGAGAGAGATCAGCCCACTTTCCACTCCCAGCCTGCACATCACCACAGCCTTGTCCTCAGAGCCAGGGAGGGCTCGGTGTGAGCAACACCTCCTCTTGATTCCAGCAGCTTTCACTCACACACTCTTTTCATTCTCTAACCAACCCTGGAGTGTAGGGGGCCAGGGTTAGTTGCCTGTTCCAGTTGGGAAACCAGAGGCTCTCAAAGTAAAGGGATAGGGCCAAGAACCTGGGGTGACCCCAGAGCACAGTGCCTTCCCTCGCAAGGTTCCCTCCTTGTCCAACCACTGCCAGTGACCCTGTGCCTAAAACCACCCAAGTTCTTTATAGCTTCTTGGACTCCTCCCAAGGATCAAAGCCAGGGAGGGGAGCAGACCATTCTCTAGGGCTATAGGGGCAAATTAGCTGATCAGACAACTTGAGGGGTGGCCCTACCTACCTGCCTGGGATGCTGACTTTTCCTTCCATGGCCCCCTCCCTCCTGCCTCAGGCTCTCTTCCAGCCCAGAGTCTGGCTGGAATGTCCCTCCTCTTTCAGGGGGCACTCCAGAAGCCTGGAGACCCCACTCCCCAGAAATCTCTAGTGCTCCCCTCACTGGCAAACAGTAGGGAGACTGAGGGGTGTCCCAGAGCAGAGTTGGTGAGGGGGCCTCTGGACCATAGCCCCAAGCCCCTGCCCCCTCCCCAGCCCTGTTCTGCCATGCAGGCGCTAGGTCCTTGGCAGGCAGAGTCCCAGGGTACAGGGGGCCTAGGCAGCCCCCATCCCATGATCCTGGCTCAGCTCCTGGTCTATCTATCTAAACAGCAGGCCTCAGCACTCAGCTGAGGAGCTCCTTTAGGACAAACACTGTATTTTCTTCTCAGAATCCTCACTCACATCCTGGTAGCCTCATTAACAGAGCTCTGAATGAACATATGACGGGACCATGAATGAATGGATGGATGCATGCATGACCCAGATATGCCCTGCCAGGTTGGACTCCATGCAGCCTGCAGTGTCAGGGGCAAAAGGCCTGGGGGCCTGAGCACTCTGGTTGCCTGGTTACAGGAATACACACACACACACACACACACACACACACACA